CCGCGCCCGGGGACCTGCCCGCCCCCTGCGCCCCCACTCTCTTTCCCCTCCCAGGAACACGCACCGCAGGCTCCCCCCACGCAGGCTGCTGCCCAAGGAGCCCCAGGCCAGCTTGGGGTGGTGAAGGGAAGGTTTCCCGGCGTGTACTCCGCCAGGAGGCTGGACACCCCCACCACGCTGGCCTCTCGACACCCAGGGTACCCAGGTCGAGATCGCGCCCACCTCCAGCCCTGGTAGACCCAGGCGCAGACGCAAGAACCCTAATCGGATACGCGGTCCCACCACAGTGACCCACTCGGGCACGCACATGCCGGAGGAGCACATGCACCCTAGCCCAGACACACCCCCACACCCACACAGGGGTGGGGAGGAGAGATCCTCTAACCTGGGCCTAGAAACACCGACAGAGATACTCCCCCTTCCCCCACTGCCTCGTCAGACGGACACACACAGCCCGGAATCGGACACCGAGCGCACGCACGGCCCGAACTGGGACACGCGCTGCAGACGGGATGGGTGGAGGAGCCGAGCGTGAGTGAGATTCCGTGACTAGTCATCGAGTTCCTTAGACCCCGCACGCCGACTCACACACAGGCGGCTCGCTCTGTCTCACACCCGTGAAGCACGCACGCCCCCCCAGCCCGTTGTCACTCCGCCTCTCCCAGGGCCGGGCCGGAGAGCGAGCTCCAGAGCCGGACAGGAGCCTCTCTTATCGGTCGCCCCCTAGCGGTGGACCGCTCCCCGGGGAGCTGTCCAGGGTGCCATCGGGTCCCTAAGGGCCGGGGGGCCGCGCGGGCTTCCTCACGCAGGGGCACTTGGAGGAGGAAACAGGGGGCAGGGCGGACCTAGCCAGGGGCAATTTCACTTCGAATGACTCCTAAGTGACTGCCCGAAGGACAATTCTCAGTGACCATGTCCAGAACAGGCTTGAGTGACAATCTCCAGTACTGTCCTGAGGGACCACACTGGTGCCTTGGATCAGAGCCCTGCATCAGTACAGCTAAATGGCCATAGCTGAGTTATCACTCAACAGCAATGCCAAGCCATTATACCCAGGTGTTCACAAAGTGAGCATCCCCACTGATTGTCTGACTGAACATCATCATCATCCCTACCCCATTCAGGGTGTAACTGACTTCCTTCTTCAGGGCATAACATGATCATTAGGTGGTGTGGACTTTGGTCCAAGCCAGGAAATACTTTGTTCCCAAGCAGGACCCATCCCTAGAAAACTTAGATCAATTCTACTGCAGATAATAATAGCTACCACCTTTGTGCCAAGCACTTGGCATGTGTTAACCTATTAGATATTCACCACAACCTATAACATTGTTACCTTTATCCCCACATCACTTTGCTTTCTTAATTCTAATAGTAGTTAACATTTATTCTTTGCTTTGTGCCAGTAATGTGGTAATCACTTGATATGCACCACCTAGTTTATCTTTGGAGATAGGTATTATTGTCATTCCTAATTTACAGACAATGAAAAGAAGATTTAACAAACATATACTCAGCAACTGGTAGGGCTGGGATTAAACCCAGTCTGTCTGACTCCAAGATTCAAATCCTTAATTACAGTGATTTGCAACTTCCTAACTTCCTTTGGCCATTATTCACATAATTATATCCTAGGTTCCTCTTCTGGATGTGAACTAATTTGTCTATGTCTCTCCTAAAATCTGGCACCTGCACTGAATGAGGAATTCCAGGTATAGACTGAAACGTTCAACATGACGCTACCTCTCTTCTGTAAGCTCTATTTCTAGTAATGCCACCTAAGACTCCTTTATCTTTTTCTTGTAGCTACATCATACTGCTGACATCTCGAACTTGCAGCCAAGTAACATCTGTAAGTGTTTCTTACAAGTGCTGCTGATTAAGGCACATCTACCCCATACTGTGCTTGAACCATGGACTTTTTTGGACCCTACATGTAGGTCTTTACATATTTGACCTGATTAAATGTCATCTTGTCTCATCAGTTCACTGCTCCAGTTTTTTTTTTTCAAATGTCTATTTTAATGTTGAGTCATGAGGTAGCTTTCATTTAACCAAAAAGAAATTAGTAGAAAGATTGTTTGGTATCCCCTGGACAAATGGGTTGTCTCTTTGAGCCTCAACTTCCTCAGCTGTAAAATGGGGAGTTATGATTAACCTCAAAAGCCTCTTGAAGTTCTGATGTTGTGTAATTCTATGATTTCATTATCCAAAGAATGAGCCAATCTCTTGGCATCATGTCATCTCCAAGTTTGATTACAATTTAATTAATTCTTCATCCTAATGTTAATAAAAATGTCAAAACAAATATGCCAAAAGAGCTCTAATATATACTTTCAACAAGTCTTCACATCATGAACCTGCCATTTCTACACTCCATTGTTACAATTGCAAGGTTAAATGTGGAATAATCCACTCTGATAAGTGCTTTTTTTCTTAAGAAAAAACATGAATACACTTATTTCTCATAACTCTGTGCTTGGATCAATTCTTACATATTTTAAAAACATTTTAATTCAAAAACTCTGAAATTTCTGGGTTATGTAGATACAGCAAAGCCAGGCAGATTTCCAACCAGAGTAATGACCATGACTTGGATAGAATTTTTCAGGGAATGAGATGGTAGACATACCTGTTCATCACCCCCACCTCCATTCTTTTACAGTAGCACCGTGATTCTGCTTTGGGGAAATCAGATAGTATTGTGTTGAGTTGTACGATTTGTCAATGAACACTCACATAAGCAAGATATATGTTTATCTTCCTATCACATGAAAGTCCAGACGAAGATGATTCAGGGCTGGTATGGAAGTTCCACAATGTTTAGGACCCATGTTCCTTCTATCTTGTTACTTCACTATGTCTTTCTTCCATTCTAAAGTAGTCTATGATGCCTTCATCTCCAGCCATCATGCTTACATTATATGGCCATCAGTAAAGAAGTAAAGACATGCCATATCACTTTAAGGTCATTTCTTGAAAGTTGCCTGCATTATTTCCACTCATGCTCCACTAGTCAGAATGCTGTCATATGACTTTCTAGCTTCAAGATATTCTTCAAAATGTAGTATTGATTCTGGGTGGCTAAAATTTGGGGATGAGGGGTTGTTCCAAAGAAAAACTGAAGTACAGTTAGAGAGGACAGCTAGTAATCTCTACCATTCTTAGAGACACAGTCTGCCCTCATTTCTTCCCATGTGGTTTGTGTGGGATGAGCCTAGTTCAAAGACAGGCATATGACCAAGCCCGATACCATCACTTTTCTAATTATACTTCAAGAATTGAAAGCAAATTCAAATTTTCTCAGTGAGAATCAACCACAGAACTTTTGTTGAAACTATTGGGAAAGAAAAACTCTTTTTTTCTGAGATGATGTATTAGTCTGAAATAAGCCTGAAGATTCCAGTGGTCATCTTTGCCAGCAAGAGGAGAGATTCTGAGAATGAAACTAATGAAGAGGAAAGCAAGACTAAAAGATGGAGAATCAGATTCCCGATAATATCCTTTGAACCACTGTATCTAGCCATACTGGAGGTACGGTCCCTGGACATTTTTACTCCAACTGATTAATTATCTTTCTCTTAGTACTTGCAATGGAAAGACTCCTGACTAACAAAAAGAGTTGCTAGCTTAATTGCAAGGAATAAGTACAATTTGTATTAAAAGTAGGGGAGGTAGGATGGGAATTTTTTAAGGATATGCACAGACTGAGACTGGGGCCTTCTAGATTTGAAGCAGTCATAGGCTCCAGCTACTTCCTTCATCTTCTCTACTTCTCTTTGTATCTTATTTTTTATTATTTTCATTTTTAGCTGCCTTTTCTCTTTATTTATGAATCAGCAAGTGTTGCTGATTTGCAAGGAAAAGAGACTGACTTTGAAATATAAGTAAAAAGAGGAATTTAATTTGAGACAGTTTGCACAGGAAATAACTTTGAGGTAGCTCACAGAATTAAGAAGAAAATGGAAGAACTGGACTCATAAACAGAAGAACGACCACAGAACATGTTACTTTCTCTTCTCTTTCTTTCTCTGAGTCTCCTTTCTCTTTTACTTCACATTATCTTGAATCTTCCTTCCCACCCTGCATTTAAGACCTCGAATTTGAAATTATACACTAAGAAAATTTTCTTTCCCTTCAGTCCTTGGGCCTAATCAAGCCTTGTTATTCAGTTTTATTTCAGTGTAAGTTTCACATCTTTTCTCTAGAGCAGAGTTCTGTAAAATGTGAGAAAATGTCCCAAAGAGGACGATTCTCATGGGGCAAAGACCAGAGACATGGAGACACATGATCTATAGGTTATTTGAGGTGTAAAGTTCTCATCAAGAGAATGCACATGGATATTCTATGCTGGGAGTGAGAATAAGAGAAGATTTTAGTCATGTTTCATTCTCTGGATAAAATCAGCAGGTAAAAGTTCAAGGGGTTTCCAGATACTATCTATGGAAAGAAGCCAAATCTAGAAGACCAGGAACCATGGCTGATTTAAGGACTTTGTAAAATTCCAAATCCTTTGTCATTATCCATGATGGTGACTTCTGTTATTGCTAATCATC